GCAAAAACTGGTGGGCGGTAAGGAAATTTTTCCATCAAGAAAGATCCATTAGTGGGCGGTAGGTAGAAAAAGGTTGACTACCAACGACTTAGACTTACTCTGCTTCATAGAGCTTTCCAGCCCTCTCTAAGCAGTTTACAGAGTCAGCATATTGCCCCCAACAATCTGGGTTCTCATTTTACCGACTCCTGAAGGGTGGAAGGCTGAGAGTCAACCTTGACCCACTCAGAACCGAACCCCTGGAATGAGCAGTGAGTTAGCCCTGCAGTACTGCTTCCTAACTACTGTGCCACTTGGTAGCCAGTTCATAGTTCCTCTGGTTCTGATATACACTCAAGTTTTCTTTCTCCCCAAAAGATGATAAACAGAGGCAGGGCTGTTGAGCATCATTTGATGAACTCCTTGACAATTGCATTTTTCTGTAGAGATGCCCTCATCAAAATGAAAGATGTGTACGAGAAAAACCCACAAATGGGTGATCCGGGAAGTCTTCAGCCAAAATTAATGGAAACTATGAACAACATGGACCGTCTGCGGATGGAAATCCACAAGAACGAGGTAAAAAAAATCTGTTTATTGGATAGTTTTTAGACTATGATTAGTACAACTTTTCAGACTCTTAACCAAGGTTAAGCTCCTAAGAGTCGTTCAAATCAGAGGAGGCAAAAGTCATCTTTGCTGCAGCGTTTCAGTCCATTTGCAATAGCCTCCATTTCTATTCCAGCTAGATCTAATATTCAGTTGAACGGAGCAGCAGTAGTCATTGATAATAATTATGTGGATGGTTTTGCCTGCAGGATACTTAAAAATATTCAAGGTCTGCACCGAAGCGGTGGCTCAGCAGTTAAGAAGCTGGGCTTGCCAGCTAGAAAGCCATCAGCCCAGGTTCGAGACCTGAGCTCCAGCTCATAAAGACACTTTAGGGGGGAAAAATCTCGCAGAGCCATGGCACTTTAGGAAAAAAAAACTTGCAGGATTTTAGCAAAAAAAAATGGCAGAGCCATGGGTTATTAAAGTGTGGTGCAGCCCAAGGCTCAGAGACAATGGTGGGGAGTGTCAAAATAGGAAGCTCCCTCCTGCTGCTGCCTATCCACTCCTTCCACGTTGCAGCCAAACTGCTGGTTCAGCATTCGAGTCAGAGCCAACCTACTGCTGCCACCCTCTTGACAGCCCACTTGCTCGTCCGGCTCTCCATCCAGTGCCCTTAGCGAGTTATCCCTGCAGTGACGTTCCAGTGTTGAGATGTTGTTGTGGCCCAGCAGGAGCCGGTGGAGCTGCCACCAGACTCCGACAGCGAGGGGCCCTATGAGTTGGCTCTGGAGGATGTGGAGGACCCTGGAACAGGGTTCCGACTCCGAGCAGGGCACAGAGAGACTGGTTGGCCACCAGGAGGCACCTGAGCCTTTGAGCAATGGGGAGGAGATAAGGGAGAGTGATCCAGAAGCCAGCAGTGAGTTATTCCTGGATGCCTGGAATCGAAGAGCTAATAGGCGTCAGGAACAGTTACGCAAGTACAAGAGATAATTGTGCTCAGCTGGTGGTCATTAGGCTCCTCTCCAGACTATAAAAAAGACT